GCAAGCCATTGCAAAATTTCTCCCTGAACACCAAACATCATTAGTTTAAACAGAAGTAAGTTGTGATCCACCCGGTCGAAAGCTTTACTAAAATCCGTATAAACTGAATCAACTTGACAAGAATCATCCAGAGAAGATAAGATATACTGGGTATATTCAAGCAAGTTACTCTCAACCGAGCGACTAGCAAAAAAACCATGTTGTCTACAATTGATTTTAGACTTAAGGGCATAGAATAGACGTGCATAAACTACTTTCTCAAAGACTTTCCCAAATGCTAGCAAAATAGATATGGAGCGGTAATCAGATATAACACCACAGTCAGCTGATTTAAAAATGGGAAGAACAAAAGCCCGCTTCCACAATGAAGGAAAGACACCCATTATTAATGAAGCATTAAATAAAATAGTTACAGGAAGGGACAGAGAGTGTGAGCATTCCTTGATTATAATTGATAGAATACCATCAGTACCAATACTGTCTGTAACCCTGACACCTCAACCTCAATTCTGTCAAACTGCAATCTACACAATCTACATTCTCCTGGATTGGAGCAGCATCAACAAAAACCGAAGAAAACAAATCAGCGAACGATGAGCATACTCCGACACCATCGCCAACAACAGTTCCATTCCAGGACATCGTAGAAGGAATGACATCCGCACGCTTCTTACACTTAGCAAAAGCCCAAAACACCTTTGGGTCAGATTGGATATTGCTTTCAGCTCTTCTAACATACTCCATGTAATTGTGATGGATTAGATACTTTACACGATTCCTTAGAATTGAAAAAGTAAGGTAGTCAAGTCGGTTACCATAACGCTTCCATTTTAAAATCATGAGTTATCAAGAGAGATGGTTTAAAATCACTTTTGAAAGTATGCAAACACGGGATCAATGCTGTACAGGTGTCTACAAAGGTTATTTCCTTAAAACTTTATTATTTTGTGGTAAACCCTTCAAATTACCAACTGATTCTAAAAGTCTATTTCATTTTAAAATTATTCTCACTCTTAGAAATGTTTCATTAGACGCATCGTTTTAGAGTTATTTACAAAAAGATGCAACCTCGTCCATGCAATATTGTCATTAATCGTGGGTGTCCATTGTAAGGAAAGCAGTAAAGCAATGCGTCAAATTAAAAGGTCATCAATAAAAAGTCATTTTTCTAAACACGCAGCATCCATAGTACACTTTTTCATCATAGATTGGCAACACTGTATTTGCAACAGATGATCAGCAATTTTAAATTCTTGTCTAAACTGTTGCTATCAACAGTACTAGCAGTACCACAATCTGCCACAAAATCTAGAATGTTTTCTTCTAGTTGGGGTATACGACCTGATCTCAGATTCCCCTTATTTACATACTTCTCTCTTAAATTTCCTGTCTTACGTAAATGTCTTTCGATATTTAGAAATTTAGAAATGTTTTTCTATCAGGTTGTCTTTACTTACGATTTGTTTCCATCTACGATTAATGATAACATTACAAAATCGAGGTTGTATCTTTTTGCAAATACCTCGAAAACGATGCGTCTAATCAAAAATGTCTAAGAGTGAAAATATTTTTAGAATGAAATGCTTTTTTAGAACCAGTTGGAAAATTTAAGGGTTTATGGCATAATAAATATGTTTTAAAGAAATAACAGTTGTGACCAACCTGTATAGCTTTAATCCCGTGGTTCGATATTTCGAATAGTGATCTTAAACGATTTCTTATGATAACATTGCACTGCTTCCCAAATTTTGCCTTTTCAAGATATATTGAAAATATTTAAGAAAATGTTTAAAAATTTCATAACATTGAAAACCCATACCTTGGCCATTTATGGATTTAGACCAAAAATTTTTTTTCATCATCATTTTAACTCTAATATTTGTGATTAAAATTATGCCATGACTTACAGGTACACTCTGTATAAAAATACTAATTTTCAGGCTTTTGCCACTCCTCATTTGTTGCATACATTGGAGTGGACCAGCACAAATGTTGTGAAGACACCTCTCTATTGAAGCTGAAGAACAAACAACACATAAAAATTATTTTAAAGTTAGAAGATAGCAATGGATATAACTTTCTTGCAGAAAATGGTTGTATTTTCGTCTCTAGCTTAACTATTAGTCGTAGTAATCCAGTATTAGCGTAAATGGTAAGGCGTAAGTGCCTGGTTGTAAAATTTCTGATGAACTTATATTTGAGACAGGGATAATTCCAATTTTTCGTCAAATGAACTTCCTAATTCCTTCCACACTTCTACAGCATCATATAGAGAAGCGCTTTTTTTGCAATTTGTGAAATCCCCGAGATATTGAAGTAAGAGGGCTGGTCTGAATTGTATTCTGTCGGTATAAGGTCCGTTTTAATTTCAATCAAGGAATTTAAACATGGTTCCTTGAGGATTTCGAGGTGTCCTTTGACTTTACCCTGCATCAACTTGAGTGATGAACCTGTTTTCAGTGATATTGCACTTAAAGCTGCCTCTTTTTGTATATATAAATGGTGTGAGACCGAGTAGGGCTTTAAGAGCAGTCGTCGGACAAGCTCTCATTGCACCCGTTATATTAAGCATGCTAGCCGCTGGATTTGTGTCAGCTGTTGTGCTGTCTTATGATTTGTTTTTGGCCACCAAACTAGTGAGGCATGGGCGCCTATGGATCTAATTATTGCTATGTAAGCCCAATGAGCCATTCGTGGTTAGAGTCATAAAATTCCTCACCTTGTCTATGTGGGAGTTCCAGTTTAATTTACTGTCTATTATTACCCCTAGGTATTTAACTTCTGTTTTGAGGTTAATAGTTCTGCTTTCAATGGAGAGTGCTCTCAATTGTAGCTTCCTTCTTGGAATGAAAGGGGCTATTTCGATTTTGTTTGGGTTGATGCTGAGCCCATTGCTTCTGCACCAACTGTTTTTCCCATTAACTTACATGTATTTGCAGACAATCCACCATACTGTTCCACCTCAAATCGTTTAAAACTGTTCCATCAGTGTATACAAGCTATATGCTTAGATCTAGCCAGGAGATTCTTTCTAAAATATTTCACAATTTGGATCACGTACTTTTTGACTTTAGTTACTTCAAGGTCTTTGCAAAGCAAATTTAGAAACTGAGCTGAGCATCAATAAGTTATAGCAGAACCACTAAAGCTTCTGATCTATGACTTCTCATACTTGTCATATTCGCAGCATATCCCACACAAATGACGTTTTATTACAATTATATTTCGCTTTACAAGATGAAATTATTCCATAAGCAATTTTTGTTAAGCAATCACTTGTATGGGGGCTACCAGATGTATCTATTGTTTCGTATAGGAATGTGTTACCATCTTAAGTAGCTATTGTGGCACATAGTATAGGGTACATTACGTACATTAGACAAACCATCAACTGATTCATTTACGTTACATGCAGAAAGACTTCTCGTATAAAAATCGTTTCTTAATTCCAATAAATAAAGTAGTTACGATATTTTAAAGTTTATCATTGCTGAAAATATCCTAATGTATTTACACAAAAATTGTAATAACTTTTTTCTCAGTTATTTTGTAATTCAACGCATAATCTGTTATACACCATCTTGTAGAAGAGACTTCAATCTTTAACTTGGTATAAAAATCATTTCTTAATTCCAATAAATAAAATAGTTAGGATATTTTAAAGTTTGTCATTGCTGAAAATGCCCTAACCTATTTAAACATAATTTATATTGATTATTTTCTCAATTATTTTGTAATTTAACCCCAATTCTGTTATATAACATTTTAAAGAAGAGATTTCAAAGAATGGTTTGGTATAAAAATCGTTTCTTAATTCCAATAAATAAAGTAGTTACGATATTTTAAAGTTTATCATTGCGGGAAATATCCTATTGTATTTACACAAAATTTATAATAACTTTTTTCTCAGTTATTTTGTAATTCAACGCATAATCTGTTTTATACCATCTTGTAGAAGAGACTTCAAACTTTAACTTGGTATAAAAATAATTTCTTAATTCCAATAAATAAAATAATTACGATATTTTAAAGTTTGTCATTGCTGGAAATGTCCTAACCTATTTAAACATAATTTATATTGATTATTTTCTCAATTATTTTTTAATTCAACCCCAATTCTGTTATATACCATTGTAAAGAAGAGATTTCAAAGAATGATTTGGTATAATAATCGTTTCTTAATTCCAATAAATAAAGTAGTTACGATTTTTTAAAGTTTATCATTGCTGGAAATATCCTAATATATTTACACAAAATTTTTAATAACTTTTTTCTCAGTTATTTTATAATTCAACTCATAATCTGTTATATATCATCTTGTAGAAGAGACTTCAAACTTTAATTTAATATAAAAATCATTTCTTAATTCCAACAAATAAAATAATTACGATATTTTAAAGTTTGTCATTGCTGGAAGTGTCATAACCTATTTAAACATAATTTGTATTGAATATTTTCTCAATTATTTTATAATTCAACCCCAATTCTGTTATATACCATTTTAAAGAGGAGATTTCAAAGAATGATTTGTTATAAAAATCGTTACTTAATTTCAATAAATAAAGTAGTTACGATTTTTTAAAGTTTATCATTGCTGGAAATATCCTAATGTATTTACAAAAAAACTGTAATAACGTTTTTCTCAGTTATTTTATAATTCAACGCATAATCTGTTATATACCATTTTAAAGAAGAGACTTCGAACTTTAATTTGGTATAAAAATCATTTCTTAATTCCAATAAATAACCTAGATAACTCTTTTCAAAGTTTATTGTTGGAAATATCTCAACCTATTTACACTTAAATTGGAATAACTTTTTTCTCAATTATTTTGTAATTCAACACATAATCTATTATACACCATATTAAAGAAGAAACTTTAAACTTTAATTTAGAATAAAAATTAATTCTTAATTCAAATAAATAATGAAGATACGAGTTATTGAAATTTTATTTCTTCTCTGACAATTTTATTTATCCAATTGAATGAATTAAAACATTTACAGATAAAACATCACAGTTTTATTGTTGATATAGAATCCAAATTATGTTAAAAACAGTTAATAAAATAAATATTGGAAATAAAATATAATCAATATTTATGTTATCCAAAGAAAATTTCGATAAATTCTCAATAAAGTTCATAACCATTCCGTAAATTTCGACATCCTTCAAGAAATTGTGACTGAAGAATTCTTGAATTGATTTTATGGAGTCTTCATTGATTTTAATTCCAGCGTAGAATATTTGATTACATTGAATTGGATCGTAAATGAAATTTACTGCACGCAGTTGATCGATTCGCACGATTTTATCAGATTTATGATAAGAATATGATATTAACTTGGATTGATTGTAATAATAACGAAGAAATGTCGATAAATGATCTATTATGGTTAAACAATTATTTCTTAACGGCTCTAATTGGTAATCGACCTTCTTAAAGGAGGGTTGTTTTATCATTAACATCAAAAAAACGAAATCGAACGATAATATTTTTTTGAAATAATCATCGTATTTTAACTTTTTTAATTCCTTTAATTTTGATCTTTTAATTCTTTTGTATGGAACTACTTTTTTGGTGTCTTTGGTTCCAAAATTTCCTTTTACAAGATTTTTGCGATTTTTATCCTCAATTTTCTTTAAACATTTATCGAGGGCTTTTATTATAAGGTTTTTATAAAACAGTGGAATACAAGATTCTTTAATCAACTCAGTTGAAGCGTAAAATTTTTTCATCCAGTATAAATGTATAAGATCAATCTTTTTTTCTTCTACTTTGGAAGGTTTTTCTGAATCAGTTTTACGATCTACGTTTAATAAATCAACATCAATGACCGCAGCTAATTCAGAATTGAAGTTTTCTTCATCTTCATCATCGCTTTCATCCTTATTCTTATTGGTTTCATCTCTTAATGAAGAGTTATTATAACTTGGTTTTGAACTAAATAGGAAATAGTTATTTGTGCGTTTTGGTATATACTCAGGAATCTAAACGGAAGAGAATTAGATGTAAAATCAATAAATTATTGGATAACAGAACTGACCACTTCGTTAGTAATCCTGATTTGGTTGTTATTAGGTAGGATTCTATGAAAAATTTTGATCACATTCGTTATCCCGCTCGTTAAACTCCGATTCATGTTGGAAAAGATGGTTTTTCGTACAATAAAATTTAGAAATGTTTTTGGATTAAAAAAAATTACATCACTATTAATTTTTGACACGTTTTGAGACGGAATTTAAAAACGTCTAGTTCATTTTTTTTAGAAATAATGACAACAAAAATTCTCCAAATAATCTAGATGGGTTTGACTTTTTTTATTGGAAAACTCCAAAATTTCAAAAACTTATATTTAGCTTATTTATGGGAATTAAGAAATGATTTTTATACCAAATTAAAGCTTGAAGTCTCTTCTTTCAAATGATTTATAAAAAGTTATGAGTTGAATTATAAAATAATCGAGAAAAAAGATATTACAAATTATGTGTAAATACGTTAGGATATTTCCAGCAATGATAAACTTTAAAGAATCGTATCTAGTTTATTTATTGAAACTAAGAAATGATTTTTATACCAAATGAAAGTGTGAAGTCTCTTCTACAAGATGGTATATAACAGATTATGCGTTGAATTACAAAATAACTGAGATAAAAGTTATTACAAATTTTGTGTAAATACATTAGGATAATTCCAGCAATGATAAACTTTAAAAAATCGTAACTACTTTATTTATTGGAATTAACAAACGATATTTATACGAAATCATTCTTTGAAATCTCTTCTTTAAAATGGTATATAACAGAATTGGGATTGAATTATAAAATAATTGAGAAAATAATCAATACAAATTATGTTTAAACAGGTTAGGACATTTCCAGGAATGACAAACTTTAAAATATCGTAATTATTTTATTATTTGGAATTAAGAAATGATTTTTATACCAAATTAAAGTTTGAAGTCTCTTCTACAAGATGGTGTATAACAGATTATGCGTTAAATTACAAAATAACTGGGATAAAAGTTATTACAAATTTTGTGTAAATACATTAGGATACTTCCAGCAATAATAAACTTTAAAAAATCGTAACTACTTTATTTATTGGAATTAACAAACGATATTTATACCAAATCATTCTTTGAAATCTCTTCTTTAAAATGGTATATAACAGAATTGGGATTGAATTATAAAATAATTGAGAAATTAATCAATGCAAGTTATGTTTAAATAGGTTAGGACATTTGCAACAATGACAAACTTTAAAATATCGTAATTATTTTATTTAATGGAGTTAAGAAATGATTTTTATACCAAATTAAAGTTTGAAGTCTCTTCTACAAGATGGTATATAACAGATTATGTGTTGAATTACAAAATAACTGAGATAAAAGTTATTACAAATTTTGTGTAAATACATTAGGATACTTCCAGCAATGATAAACTTTAAAAAGTCGTAACTACTTTATTTATTGGAATTAAGAAATGATTTTTATACCAAATCATTCTTTGAAATCTCTTCTTTAAAATGGTATATAACAGAATTGGGGTTGAATTATAAAATAATTGAGAAATTAATCAATACAAGTTATGTTTAAATAGGTTAGGACATTTCCAACAATGACAAACTTTAAAATATCGTAATTATTTTATTTCTTGGAATTAAAAAATGATTTTTATACCAAATTAAAGTTTGAAGTCTCTTCTACAAGATGGTATATAACAGATTATGCGTTGAATTACAAAATAACTGGGATAAAAGTGATTACAAATTTTGTGTAAATACATTAGGATACTTCTAGCAATGATAAACTTTAAAAAATCGTAATTTATTGGAATTAAGAAACGATTTTTATACCAAATCATTCTTTGAAATCTCTTGTTTAAAGTAGTATATAACAGAATTGGGGTTGCATTAAAAAGTAATTGAGAAAATAATCAATATAAATTATGTTTAAATAGGTTAGTATATTTCCAGCAATGACAAACTTTAAAATATCGTAATTATTTTATTTATTGGAGTTAAGAAATGATATTTATACCAAATTAAAGTTTGAAGTCTCTTCTACAAGATGGTATATAACAGATTATGCGTTGAATTACAAAATAACTGGGATAAAAGTGATTACAAATTTTGTGTAAATACATTAGGATACTTCCAGCAATGATAAACTTTAAAAAATCGTAACTACTTTATTTATTGGAATTAAGAAACGATTACCAAATCATTCTTTGAAATCTCTTCTTTAAAATGGTATATAACAGAATTGGGGTTGAATTAAAAAATAATTGAGAAAATAATCAATATAAATTATGTTTAAATAGGTTAGGACATTTCCAGCAATGACAAACTTTAAAAGATCGTAATTATTTTATTATTTGGAATTAAGAAATGATTTTTATACCAAATTAAAGTTTGAAGTCTCTTCTACAAGATGGTGTATAACAGATTATGCGTTGAATTACAAAATAACTGGGATAAAAGTTACAAATTTTGTGTAAATACATTAGGATACTTCCAACAATGATAAACTTTAAAAAATCGTAACTACTTTATTTATTGGAATTAAGAAACGATTTTTATACCATATCATTCTTTGAAATCTCTTCTTTAAAATGGTATATAACAGAATTGGGGTTGAATTAAAAAATAATTGAGAAAATAATCAATATAAATTATGTTTAAATAGGTTAGGACATTTCCAGCAATGACAAACTTTAAAATATCGTAATTATTTTATTTATTGGAATTAAGAAATTATTTTTATACCAAATGAAAGTTTGAAGTCTCATCTTTAAAATGGTATATAACAGATTATGTGTTTAATTACAAAATAGTTGAAAAAAAAATTATTATAAATTAATATTTCTTGATTAATAGATGTTTAAGAGTAATTTAAGAAAATGTGTATCTACTTGATTAAAACTAACTAAGAAAAGCTTCTTATATGAAATTAAAGAGGAAATTGCATGCTTTAATTTGATGTAGAAATCATTTCTTAGTTTCATATATTCAGATATTATAATTTGTATTTCAAACAAAAATCAATATATATTTAAAAAATTTGTAACTCATGTATTTATGCGATCTTAAAAATGGGTCATATATCAAATTAAAAAGGATACTTTAAAGTTTAATTTGCACCATAAACCATTTCTCAATTCCTATAAATGCGATCTACAGGATTTCATAATGTTGGTGTAAATTAAGTGTAAATAGGTTAAAATATTTCCAACAATGACAAACTTTGGAAATTGTTATCTAGTTTATTTATTGGAGTTAAGAAATGATTTTTATACCAAGTTAAAGTTTGAAGTCTCTTCTACAAGATGGTATATAACAGATTATGCGTTGAATTACAAAATAACTGGGATAAAAGTTATTACAAATTTTTTGTAAATACATTACGATACTTCCAGCAATGATAAACTTTAAAAAATCGTAACTACTTTATTTATTGGAATTAAGAAACGATTTTTATACCAAATCATTCTTTGAAATCTCTTCTTTAAAATGGTATATAACAGAATTGGGGTTGAATTAAAAAATAATTGAGAAAATAATCAATATAAATTATGTTTAAATAGGTTAGGACATTTCCAGCAATGACAAACTTTAAAAGATCGTAATTATTTTATTTATTGGAATTAAGAAATGATTTTTATACCAAATGAAAGTTTGAAGTCTCATCTTTAAAATGGTATATAACAGATTATGTGTTTAATTACAAAATAGTTGAAAAAAAAATTATTATAAATTAATATTTCTTGATTAATAGATGTTTAAGAGTAATTTAAGAAAATGTGTATCTACTTGATTAAAACTAACTAAGAAAAGCTTCTTATATGAAATTAAAGAGGAAATTGCATGCTTTAATTTGATGTAGAAATCATTTCTTAGTTTCATATATTCAGATATTATAATTTGTATTTCAAACAAAAATCAATATATATTTAAAAAATTTGTAACTCATGTATTTATGCGATCTTAAAAATGGGTCATATATCAAATTAAAAAGGATACTTTAAAGTTTAATTTGCACCATAAACCATTTCTCAATTCCTATAAATGCGATCTACAGGATTTCATAATGTTGGTGTAAATTAAGTGTAAATAGGTTAAAATATTTCCAACAATGACAAACTTTGGAAATTGTTATCTAGTTTATTTATTGGAGTTAAGAAATGATTTTTATACCAAGTTAAAGTTTGAAGTCTCTTCTACAAGATGGTATATAACAGATTATGCGTTGAATTACAAAATAAGTGAGAAAAAAGTTATTATAAATTTTGTGTAAATATATTAGGATATTTCCAGCAATGATAAACTTTAAAATATAGCAACTACTATATTTATTGGAATTAAGAAACGATTTTTATACCAAGTCATTCTTTGAAACCTCTTCTTTAAAATGATATATAACATGATTGGGGTTGAATTATAAAATAATTGAGAAATTAATTAATACAAGTTATGTTTAAATAGGTTAGGACATTTCCAACAATGACAAACTTTAAAATATCGTAATTATTTTATTTAATGGAGTTAAGAAATGATTTTTATACCAAATTAAAGTTTGAAGTCTCTTCTACAAGATGGTATGTAACAGATTATGCGTTGAATTACAAAATAACTGAGAAAAAAGTTATTACAATTTTTGTGTAAATACATTAGGATACTTCCAGCAATGATAAACTTTAAAAAATCGTAACTACTTTATTTATTGGAATTAAGAAATAATTTTTATACCAAATCATTCTTTGAAATCTCTTGCTTAAAGTAGTATATAACAGAATTGGGGTTGCATTAAAAAATAATTGAGAAAATAATCAATATAAATTACGTTTAAATAGGTTAGGATATTTCCAGCAATGACAAACTTTAAAATATCGCAATTATTTTATTTATTGGAGTTAAGAAATGATTTTTATACCAAATTAAAGTTTGAAGTCTCTTCTACAAGATGGTATATAACAGATTATGCGTTGAATTACAAAATAACTGAGAAAAAAGTTATTACAAATTTTGTGTAAATACATTAGGATACTTCCAGCAATGATAAACTTTAAAAAATCGTAACTACTTTATTTATTGGAATTAAGAAACGATTTTTATACCAAATCATTCTTTAAAATCTCTTCTTTAAAATGGTTTATAACAGAATTGGGGTTGAATTAAAAAATAATTGAGAAAATAATCAATATAAATTATGTTTAAATAGGTTAGGACATTTCCAGCAATGACAAACTTTAAAAAAATCGTAATTATTTTATTTATTGGAA